CAGCTTAAACTTTAAACACACTAATGTTTTGTTAATAGTTGGTTTAATGGTTACTTTATATGTTTATTAAAATATATTTTTTAATTACATATTTAAATTTAAAAATTTTAAATTGTGTTATGCTGCTTAAATTTATATGTTATTATTTTTTTATTTTTGTTAAAAATACAATTTTTTCACAATAGTTTGTGTTTCTAAGGTACGTATCTTAACCTCCAATATAATAATTACTATGTACTTTCATTTATTTTGGAGACTTGCTCTTTACTAGAGTATAAAAAGGGTGGGTATGCGCGTGGAACTTTAAACAATCAAATTATGGCACGTCTCAAAATATTGTCTTAAATGTAATTTTGGTATAAAAAATTATTGATATGGCTTGAGAATTTATTTTAATCTTTAATTATAAAATTTTAAATTTTAGAAATGGTTCAAATCAATTAGATCTATAAACATATGAAAATCTTAAAAATAGATGGTCATGATAATGTGTTGCAAGATATAATAGGACCTGGTATTTACAATGAATTCGAGTTTTTGAGAAGGAGAAGAGAGAAAAGCTGGTTTGGAAAGAGAACAACCATCTCAGCCATGGCTTGTGTTTGGGTGAAATCCTAGGGTGGAATGCTGATGCTGAGTGTCCTCCTCTCCTATTTTGGTCACTCACTAGAAGCACAAACATTGAAATTGATGTGAGATTTATAAAAGTTGGGGGGTGGGGGTGTAGTAAAAGAAAAGGGATAGAGTTTAAGCTGAGGTTTCAGAGCACTGTTCATCAGATTCGCTTCGAGCCTTCTTCGATCCGGTGGAAAAAGCATCATTTTTTTGAGAGATTTTCTAAGTATAGCTTAATTTTATATTTTTAAGGTGTCAATCTTATATAAAGTTTTTCCAAAACTAAAAACTATAAGCATAGCAAAACTTTTTCCAAAACTATCATCATTGGCCAAAGCCTAGCAAATCCTAGCGAAGTGATGTGACATTATCCTAACCTCCTTGATTCATAATTTTCAAGTCTTTATCATTATCAAATTTTTTGAGGCTATAATCGTGTGTAAATAAGTCCATGAAATTAACCTCAACTAGTGAAGCCCTTGATATAAGGATATGGTTTTGGAAGGGCTGTATCTATCATATGAATGATTGCAAAAATATCTACCATCCATTTAATTGAACGGTGTAAAATTTGCACAAAATCTTTTTTTTTTTTTTTTTGTAGAGAAGTTGAACACACGGAAACCTTTTTACAAGCCTTTTGGGAACATTGAACACTAGAATTTGTAAATCCTAGAGAAATTTATGTACAGATCAGGGGGCTTAATTACAAAATGAAATCACGTTTATCCTAAATTACGGGAGCATTTTTTTTTTTCGAAGTTACTCTCTGGCTGGTAATGCGAACACCGGATAGGTTGGTCACGCAAAGCGGTCGATAATACGAGCACCGGATAGGTGGGGTTTATACCGCGCAAAGCAAAAGAAATGTCCGATGCTTGAAATACCGGACTGATATCTGCTATCCCCAAAACCAGCAAGTTCTTTCTCTTTCCAAACATCATGACTCTGCATTTTTTAAAAAATAATTGTTCTCAACCCTTCGCTCTCTTAACCCTTCTTGTTCTCCTCTCTCACTCTCACGCTTTCTCTCCCCCAAACCCTTTGAACATTTTACTGAATTTAAAAGGAGAAATTGTGTCCGTTGCCATGCCCTAACTGAATCTCCCACATTAGAAACCCAAGGACGCCATTAAAGCTTCCTATTCTTCTCCATTAAAGCTTCCTATTCTTCTCCATTTTCCTGCCCTTTAATCAGTTACGGTTTCCTATTGTTGAGCTGGGGTTTTCTGGTAGATTCAATGTGGAGACGCCATAGTACTAACCAAGATCAAGCTCTATGAGTTCAACCTCTTTATAATGCTATTAAATCTTTAATTTTGGTGGGGTCAATTACAAAATAGGATCACGTTTGTCTTAAATTACGGGGGGCACCCTGTTCTTCCCGATGTTTTTTTTTTCCCAAGTTACCTCCTGTCCGGTTACGCACACACCGACCTGACGGATAGGGTTTATACCACGCAAAGAAAAACAATTGTCCTGTGTTTGAAATACAGGACCGCTATCTGCTATCCCCAAAACTAGCAAGCTCTATCTCTCTTTCTCCAAATATTGTAACTCTGCATGTTTTAAAAATAATCTCTCAACCCTTCTCGCTCTCATGCTCTCTCTCCCCCAAGCAACATTTTACGGATTTTAAAAGGAGAAAACATGTCTGTTGCCATGCCCTAACTGAATCTCCCACATTAGAAACCCATGGACGTCATTAAAGCTTCCTATTCTTCTTCATTTTCCTACCCTTTAACCAGCTAGGGTTTCCCTATTGTTGAACCGAGGGTGACGTAAGGTCATCTTCTCTATACAACTTTTTACTTAATTGCTGCATTAATATTTAATTTGAGCATTAGAAGGCTTCTATGGTGATGTATTGATACATAATTTATGGATCTTGACCATGGTTTCCACGGTGATATTGATCCATAATTTATGGATCTAACCCCATATAGTTGATTATTCATGGTTGGTTTCTCATTTGCTATAACAAGCGTTGTAACATCCTCAAATCCACATCAGTAACCATTATTTTGTTAAAATCTTGAGAGAAGAGATGGACTCACTCCCATGATCAGGGGCAGTGTCGTGAGACTATTGATTGCAGATTTCAGGCTTTTACCAGAACTATGAGAATTCTGTAAATTTCTGTGTACCTCTCCATGGCCATCAAACCCTTCTTAAATAGGGATGGATGAGGGAGTTCTCCAACGTTCGGCGGTAAAGAGGTTTTCTCATGAAATCTCTGAGAAAATGTGGCCCTGTATTCCTATGAAGTAGGTGGTTACTATCTAGCCGTTAGAAAATGAAACTTTCTCTCTCTAAGAAGCCTCATTATTTTAGTGAGCATTAAATTATAAGATAGAGAAAAATTGTACGTTTAAAGGCCCCATGGCCACACACACATACCAACATCTCACATTTAGCTATGAGAGCCAGATATATTGAAATATCATTAAGTCTTTACCACTTAATGAATTTAACATTTATGAGCATATTTTTGTCATGAGGCGTTTCATGCAAGTGCGGTTATACATCTCATAACAAAAAATATCTAAAGTCATGTCATAGTTTTTCATGCTAATACGGTTTTTCCTCTCATGACCAAGATATGAA